CAGGACCAAAGTAGAGGTAATGATTGGGTGGGCCATGAGAGAGATTTGAGATGCTAGCACCATGACTTCTTCATCAGGTGGTGCTTAGATGGCTAGGCTCTTTCTGTGATCATCTATTAAGCAAGACCATCATAATATGAGTGGTTTTCTTTATATATGTTAAGCTTTAATGAAAATTTTATTTAAAAAATTTTAAGGCTGGCAGGAAATTTCACTTTCTTATTATCAATCCTAAATATGATAATTTAATCATTTAGTCCAATTGTACTCTTTGCAGATGATACAACTTAAACAGCAAGAGACTCAGTAACATTTGCAGTCTTACCTTTAAGACCACTTTTTAATCAGATTTAATGGAGGAATTTTAAAAGTCAGGTTTTTATAGTGTTCTTTTTTTCCCTATCTTTCTGTTTAGAGTTAAAAAGAAATAAACTTATGTAAAAAAATATGAGAAATCATTCCAAGTATCTCAGACATTATTTAGGAAAGGTCAGGCCCAATTGTGGTGGGATAAGTGAGAAGGGGCTGCTGCACAATGGTCAAGGTTGTATGGGAGGCACAGGTTGGGTTCCTAGCCCATTCTAAACAAGCTGGGCATGGTGGCATACACCTGTGGTCGTAGCTGACTAGGAGACTGAGGTGGAAAGAATTGCAGCTTTTCTAGATCCTATTAAAAATATCTCTTTTGGACCAGTTCAGTGGTGCAGTAGTAATGTGTTGCTCAAAAGAAGCTGGATCCCACATGGTGTATGTAATTCACCTCCTCAGCCCAGTCAGTCTAAAACATACAAGGCACATGTATGAATGCCCAAGATCTGACAGGCTAGAGGAATGTAGGGAATGGATTGGAGTGTGACCAGACCCTGTGGAGGGTGCTCATCTCTCTCTCTCTCTCTCTCTCTCTCTCTCTCTCACACACACACACACACACACACACACACACCCACACTCTGTCTCTTTCATTAAGAAAGAAGAGAAAGAGAAGAAAAAGAGGAAAAGTCAGACTTTCCAGTGAAAATATCTATGGCTAACATGAGTAAAGAATGTGCCAGCCTTGCCAAGGTATTTAGTTTTAGAAATAGGAAGCAGAGGAGCTGCTTTAACAATGGGCCATTGTGAACTGGAGATAGCTCTAAACCAAGCAAAAAACACACATTATAATATATCACCAAGAAAGGTAAATTAGATTCTGCTTTAAAACTCAAACTAATTTTGTCTGTGTATCCATTTCCCACAATTTCTGCTACATATGCATGCACACACTAGCCACCTAGATAGTAATGCCTTGGGACTTGAAATTCCTCAAGACTATAGGATGTGTGAGCTCAGCTTTAGTTTGTTTGCTATTCTTCCCCAGAGAATATAGGCTGACCTGTAAATGCTCTTCAAGTGAATCCTATATCACTGGGAGTTTCACCATAGCTAGGATAATTCTTGGGGAACCATAGATTTCATAGTTAACAAAAGGCAAGAAAGTTCTTTCTGCAGGAGTTTTCCTCCCACCTTCCAATGTTCCCGTGCCATAATATATTATGAAGACATTCTAAGTCCACTGCAACACACATATGGTTTTGTAATCTTTTAACTCATTACTTTTAAAGATCAACAATAGTATGTGCTTTTGAGCTCCTTGGCTTTTTCTGAACTTGTATCAAGTAGAATTCATTAAAGATCACTTCTCATAATCTATTCATGTATTTATTGAACTTCTACTATATGCCTGATAGTGCTAGGTGCTGAGGACACATAATGAATAAGACATAGTATTTGTCCTCAACAAGTTCATGATTGGTTGCAGAACAGTTGCAGAACAAAATAATGGTTTAGTTACGAGAATAAATTTTGGTGGTGTCCAAAACATATCATTTAAGTCCTAACTATGAGTTTTAAATTCTGTTTTCTTGATAGTCTTTGCTGGTGACTTTGCAACATTGCTATTTGGGGTAACAGAACTTTTTTGAGAATACATCCTGTTTAACTTCATTTAAATGTACCCAACTTGTGTGTAGTTTGAGAGCATCCTAAGTTCAGATGACTACACTATAAAGGAAATAGATTGAGACTTCTTGCATGAAATTGATACAGATTAGAAGCACTAGGAGTAAGAAATTCCATGGCAAGAAGGCCTCATAACAGTTACTTCTAAACTAAGTTTGAGAAGGTTCTAAGAGAAATACTTATGTGTTGGAAAGAAAGGTCAGGGACCAGCAGATGGTGTAATGGTTATGTAACTGGACTCCCACATAGTGGGTCACTGTTTGGGTCCTGGACCGGGCAACTTGGGATTTTGGGCACACACACCAGGTTTATATGCGTGTGTGCCCAAAATCCCAAGAGGAAAATGGAGGAGAAGGGATTGTGGCATGGCCATTCCCCCTGGTGGGTGATTTCTTGCTTTCTGTCTCTGTCTCTGGCAAACACACGTGCCCTATAGCAAAAAATCTCTCTAAAATAAAAAAGAGAAAGGTCAAAGATCATATGAATATGTTTAATTGCCACCTATCACTGGATAATACCTGAGAGCTAACAGCTCACAATATGGAAACATAAAGGTAGCCTCTCTGGTCTGAGTTTGAATACCTTCTTAGAGCAGGGAAATTTTATCTCATGTAAAGAGATGCCTACTTTTAGGCATCTCTAATAATTCTTGAGTCATTTTTGAGGGGAGACATTACTTGCCAAATGTGATCAAAGATGAGAATAAGAATAGATTATCAGTCACTCAAGTTGCTTTTGACTTAAGTTTTATTGTCGTCCATAGATTTAAATGAATCAAAATTTGGTTAAAAATTCTGCTAGATATGGAATGTCAAGGGACCCTAAGTAGCCAAGATAGTCTTGAAAAAGAACAAAGCTGGAGGACTCACACTTCCTTATTTTAAAACTTACTATAAAACCAAAGTAATCAAAATAGTATGACACTGGCATAAAAATGGACATATATAGATCAACTGAATAAAATAGCCCCAAAATAAACCATCACATATATAATCAAATAATTTTTGCCAAGACCATAAGAAAGGGAAAGAACAGCCTTTTAAAAGAAAAAAGATGCATGGAAAACTGGATATCCAAATGCAAAAGAATGAATGAAGTTGGATCCTGACTTAATGCCATATATGAACTCAAAATAGATCAAAGACCTAAATGTGAGATCCAAAATAATAAAACTCTTAGAAGAAGACATAGGACAAAATCTTTACAACTAGATTTGAAAGTGATTTCTGGACTTTTACACAGAAGACATAGGCAACAAAAGAAAAGAGACTTCATAAAAATAAAAATGTATAAGCCACATTTCATAAAAATTAGAAATTTTTGTGTATCAAGAGACACTATCAATAGCATAGAAAGGTAAGCCATTGGATGGGGAGAAAAATAGGTGCAGTGGGAACCCATTATTCTGCAATGCCGACATGTGGGAAGGTTTTGGGTTTGTGTCTCAAGGTCTTCCTGAACATAGTGGGCACATATGCATGTGCTCCTGATCCTGGCTGGCTGAGACTAGGGATAGGATGGTGGTATAAACACCATGGTGGGAGTATCTTCCCTCTCTTTCTCTCTCTCTCTCTCTTTCTCTCTCTCATGGAGGAAATAAATAGAAAACTTTTTTAAAAATAATGGAAAAACATGTTCTCAAATCACACATCTGACAAGGGATAAATATTCAAAATATAGAGAACTCCAAAAACTCAACAGCAACAAAAAGACAAACAATGGGCAAAAGGCATTCCTCCAAACAAGACATACAAATAAAAGAAATAATAAATATAGTATCACTAATCATTAAGGAAATGCAAATCAAAAGTACAATGAAACACCACCTTACATCCATTAGTATGACACTTACCAAAACAAAAACAAAAGGAAAAAACAAAAAACAGAAAATGAGCATTGGCAAGAATGTAAATAAATTAGAACCCTTGTGCACTGTTGGTGAGAGTGTAAAAAGGTACCACCACTGTGGAAATCAGTGTGATAATTTCTCAACAAGTTTAAATTGCAATATAGCAATTCCACTTTGGGGGATATACCCAAAAGTGCTTAAATCAGGACTTTGAAGAGATATCTGTACATCCATGTTCCTAGTAGCCCTATTCACTATATCTAAAACATGGAAACACCCAGGTGTTTATCAATAGTGGAATGGATAAATGAAATATGGTGTGTGCATATAATGAAATATTAGTCTTAAAAAGGAAGGAAATTTTGAAATATAAAGAATAGTATATACAATAGCATGGATAAATATGAAGGACATTATAGTAAATGAAATAAGTCAATCACAAAAAGACAAATACTGTATGAGGTACTTAGAATAGTCAAAATCATAAAAATAGAAAATAGAATGGTTGTTACCAGGGATTGGCTGAAGGAAGCAATGGGAAGTTATTGTTTAATAGTTATTCAGTTTCAAATTCACAAGACAAAAAG